GATACTTTGATAGCAAAAGCACAGTGCTGATGGTAATTGCCAGTGATTTCCTGTTGTGGCTTCAGATCAAAATGTTGTGCATTACCACGCAAATTTGTAAAATTCTATTTGTTGTGTTCTGGTTGTCACCACATAGAAAATATTGTCAAGCGTTGGCTCTTTTTTTTTTTTTTTTCATTTTTGTGGAGGTGTTTTTTTTTTTGTTTGTTTGAGTCACAATATGAGTATTTTTTTAAACCACACGCTTATAACTAAAACACAAGTCTCTGAGAACACCCTTTACTTTTTACACATGCATGGAATCCTTATTTAATAATATTCAGTTCTATTTATTAAAAATTCAGTCTCACAAATCTATCACCTAATGGGTGATGTCCCAGTTCAGTAAGAATATTCACTACTGATCTAGTGAGTTACCAAAAACAAATAAAAAAGCAACTTATTACTTTTAGTATAACTTTCAACTGTTTTTAAATTAAAAACCAATGTAATGCTGCCTCTGATATGTATCAATTGGTCTGTGGTTGAGAATGCTGACAGTTTGTGAGAGCAGGGAAATTCCACTATGGCCGCCCCTCTGCCATCTCGATACACTAACAGCAGAGTCAAGTTTATGATCCTTTTGCTAGAGATGCTTGTCTTTTTCTCACATCTGCCCCTTTTATTGGCTGATAAAGATAGGCTTCTTTTTCTCAATTTAGTTCTAAAGCTTTTTACTGAAATATAATGTACACGTAGTAAGTGCAGAATCCATGAGTGTACAATTAAATAAATTTCCAGTCTCTGTCTCATGTCTCAGGTGGAATCACCCATCCCACAAAAGTCTCTTCCTTGCCAGCTTCCCAGTCAGCTGCCATTCATCCCCACCTCCTGTTGGAACCACTATTTCGAGAGTTGTAACAGCATGGGTTCCTTTTGTCTGTTCTGGGACTTCATAACCAATGGAATTCTAGACTATGTAATCTTTGGTAACTAGCTTCTTTTGCTCATTATTTTCTCTGACTCATATAATTTCCTGAGATGCTATCTTTTAAATAGGAATTGCCAAGTCAGTGTAAGTCAGTCCAACTTGGGTTTATTTGACAATGAGCTCTTCAGTTTAGAAGAGTATGCCATTTAGGACCAAAAATACATACAGCTTGCTGTGATTCTAATCATCATTGCTATATTAAAAAAAATCCCCCACAGTTCTGCACCTGCTGCTGGCACAAGGCTATGCCCAGAAAAGGCAAGGTCGGAGCCCACTTTCAGGCATGTGCCGAGCTCAGCCACAGCAGCCCACAGTGCCCTGGAAAGTATGGTTTTATCAGGCTAAGCAAGTGTCATGAATGGGTTATCTTCAAATCACAGCAAGAACACTGTAAATTCCCTAACGTAGGCATTTCACAATTTGGGCTCCTGTTAAATCATGTTGCTATTTTGTAAACACCATATTAGCAAATGAAATAGATAGAGTAGAATGAAAATATCAAAGTGCATTGTATGTGATGAGATTGAGTAATGTTTTATTTACCCTGGGTCATGACATAAATGGTGTTCGTCACCGTATATAGCGGTAAGCACTTAATAACTTCTTCCCCGAAGACTCATCTATAGAACACCAGATATATATTGAACATGTCATGCTGTTAGGTGCCATGACATATGTTATTAAGATGGATAAAACTTGGTCTGCGTAGTGTATGGAAAAGTCAAGTACACAAATAAATATGTCAAAAATATACCGTGTGATAAGGCTGTAATGGCAATCGAGCTTGCATGTGGGGAAGATTCATAACACAGTTGACTTCTGAATTAATTTTAAAAGATGAGTTCTGTGTGCTCAAGAGGTAGAAGAGAGGATGTGACTGGAAGCAGAGAGGAATCTACTTTTTTCCTCAAAAAGATAATTAGGTACATGGAGACAACAAGTTAGGCTTTAAAAGGTGAATATTAAGTGTAAAAGTTTATATTTCATACAGTACTCAAAACTCATTAAGGAGAATAGTGCTATCGTCAAGAATGAGTAATTGAATGTGGCATTTATCCAGGAAAGGAATGAAACTGATGGTGGGTAGTCCAGTTTAGGGCCTATGGAGAGAATCCAGATGCACAATGATAAAAGCTATAGTGAAGAACTATAGTGAAGGCAGAAAGAATGGAAAGAAGTGACAGGTCTAGGATATTTACTGAAAACAAAAACCCACGTAGCAGTTGGTTTTGTTAGTAGGACTTGCTGACACTGGATGTGAGAGCCACTGGAGAAGATGCTCAGTTGTGCTTTAGCAAGAGTAAATTGAACGCACTGACACCTACAAATAACTGCAGGACATTAACAATAAAGAACTACACATCACAAGAGATTTGGGAACATTAGGGGAGTGATAGTGCACATGTGAGAGTGAACTTTATTTTGCTCAGTTCTTAAAGGAAAGGAACGAATCTCATGAACTTCCTATCTCTTCCCTCAGGCAAAGAAAATGAAAAGAAGTCCTTGATAACAGTCTACATATTCAGATAATGAGTCATAGGGTATTACATTTAGAGGACTCAAAAAACACATTCAAAAAACAGTGTTACATGGAATGAAGAGGTTAAGAAAGTTGGTGGGGCATTTGCATTGTTGGCAGTTTTAATGATAAAATTCTAAGTTACCATTTTAGAGATATATGGCTGGGAGGAAAGGTTTAAAGCAGTAAGCAGGGAAATGGAAAGAGAAAAAGGGTTACACAGAAATGTTTGGGTGAATAGAATGATGCAGTTAAAAATAGTTTCATCTGGAAAGGATATAATTGAGTAGTTTCCTAATAGAAAGACCTACCAATAAAGTAAGTGGTTATTATTTTATTCTACAAAAGATGAATTGAGGTTAAGGAATGTGAATGTTGGAATAGTAACTAACAAGAATGACCATAAATTAAAAATAACTAAAATGATAGTCATGAAGCAACAGAGGAGGAGAAGAGAAGCTGGATTTGGTCAACACGGTCCAGTGGCCATCAGTGTCTCTTGGAGGTCAGTAGTTGGAAATAGACTTGGGACAAGTGTCTGTCAAGTAGCAGTAATTCTTTTCATTTGCTGCTTGCTTAGTAGAAGTGGAAGTGCATTTTAATAGCACTTTATAAAACATCAGTGAGCATGACAGGCTTTTCAAACGGTAGCTTTTGCTGGGTATTCCAAACTAGAATGAACCTAAAACATGATTTTATATCATGGTTTGTCCGGGCACTTTTCAGTCTACTGTTATGTCTCCCCAAATGGATTCTTTTATGTGTGATTCGTTTCCATGATGTCAAACTCCAATGTCCATAATTACCTTTAAAATCTCAACCCATGACTTGTCTTAGTAAATTGTCATAGCTCTGTTGTCTAAAATTTGTTTAAGTTTTTGAATTCTCTTATTTCACTTCTTCAACTAAGAAATAGACCCATAGGAATCTTGAGTAACTGTTTCCTAGGTTGTGCTTGGCAGACAGACAATAGTTATTTAAACATAAGATAATATAAAACAAGTAAAAAGCTACAGGATTTGAAGTACGGGAGTTCTACTGGAAGCCAGGTAGGGCAGAAGGTTTTTTGTTTTTGTTTTTGTTTTTGTTTTTTTTTTCTCTACCACTGCCACTCAATTTTACTTTTGCATAATATTAATTTGTATCCTGTGGATCATAATTTGGAAATGGTGTTACATTTGAAAATGTGTTTAAAACTAATCTAAAACTGTTTAGGAATAGATTCTGATGAGTATATGGATTGAGTACGCCTGAGAAAATAGAGTAACAAAGATAGGTGAAGAATATGTAATAGTATCAGTTGTAGACAATGACCATAGATACCCAAATGTCAATGAGGCAGGTAAAAAGAATCAGTTATGTTTAGGAGGGAAAAATACTACCTTTGTTTTCTTGGGTTTACAATACAATGTGAATTTGGCATGTCTATTACCCTGTGATTTTTATTGGATAGTAAAATCCACGCAGTGTGGTGGAAGACTTTTAGTTGGAATCCTAAAGTAGCCATTTATTGGCTGTGGCACCCTAGACTTGTTTGCTTTTCTATAAAATGGCAGTAAGGTTATTACAAGGCTTTAATATCGGATATATATATATATATATATATATATATATATATATGGCCCTTGGCAATGTATTCACCCATAGTAAGTTTTCAATAAATAATTAATATTATCTACAGTTTGATTAGCTGTCTTCTCCTGAATTTGCCTGTCCTGGTTAGAAGGCCTTTCTTTAAAATAATACCTAACAATCTCTTCTTCCTCTTAATCCTTTATAGTTCTATACTTATTTTTATTTATATTATAGCTTCCACTTAGAAAATGGTTTTAATTAAACTAGGATTTACCATTGGTTATATTATTATTGTTTTTAATCTTACAATTGACTGTCAAAGAGATTATGCTGGATGTAAGAGAAATTGTAGTTTCTGCTATTTTGTTATTATTATTATTTGTAAATGAATTACCAATAGCGTCTTCCATTCATAGTTTCTGTACAGGAATATTTTCAATCCATTTGGCCATTGTGTTATGTGCATTGGTTAAAATCAGATGCAAAAGTAGTAAATATGCTTTACTGGGTTCATGTAAAGTAGGTTAGCTGATAATACACAGTGTTTCTCTAACTCTTAGTATGAATGTGTTTAGGGAATGATTTAGATGGATAACTCCTAAAGTCTATTTGACATTATAAACAAAGTCATGAAATTTAGGTCTTTAAGGAAAATTATGTTGTTAAAATAAAAATCATAAAGGTAACAACAGACTAACGTATATCCTTTAGTCATCCAAATTCTATTATAATAAGCACCCATGCAAAGTTGAGCTAAATAAATAAAAATGCCCAGATTTCTTTAATATTCTCTTATATGGAATCAAACAACTCCAAAGTAACAAAACAGATTTTCTTATTAGAATGCAGAAGCTTAAGAGTAATCAGAAAGGATTCTTGCATTGTCACAATTAGCATCTAATGTGTAACTTTTGTCTTATATTTGAATGTTGACAGCTTCTGCCCTGTGATTCTTTAAAAGCAGATGAAGTGGAAAAACTTAAATGTGAAAGAGATGCTGCCTTGGAAGAAGTGAATATACTTAAGGTAACTTCCAGTTTAGATTCTTTATATTTCTTTAGGAAAAAGAAAAAAGAAAAGAAAAAAGGGAATCCTGCGTTGGATTCTGAACAGGACTATTGAGACTCAGTTTGGTTAAAAAAAAAAAAATATATATATATATATATATATATATATATATATTAACATCAAATAGAAGTATATTCTTTCTTTAATTGGAATTTATAGAGTTTTTCCTCTATATACCTTTTTTATTTCTACTTCTGAATACCCACGTAACACTTGGTGAGAAGAGTGGTTTTGCTCATGCCTTCTCACCTGGCTACTTCTATACCTTTCTTCCCTTTCGTATCTGTGGCAGTAGCAGAATTTAGATGAGTAGCTGACAAAGCAAGCTGGGACAGCTGGAATACTCTCACGCTCACTGAGAAATTCCTTTCTTGCCATGTGTAAGGCCATACTTTAAGGGACACCATGTTTTGCCAATGTAATTTAAAATTAAGGCAACGTATTTGAGGGGGCACAGAACATACATGTTCCAAATGTACTGTAACATGTTCATTCTCTTTATATATATTTATTCTGCTTTTAGTCGAGTATGAAATTTAAACTGGATCACAATGTATATCAAGCCCATTATATTTGCCCAACTTTCAAGAATAGCAATATAATTACTCTAGGTACCTTTAATTGACCATTGACATACATATTTTTAAATTACTCTGTTAAATGCATGAAATTGGCTTACTATTTTGCTTTTGTTGAAATAAATTCTTTACTCCAAAAAAGGAAGCAAATTTTCTTGTTTTATTAGTTCTTACAATTCCAACCTCTAGAAGAAGCTATTGTTAAAAATATCCTGCTCACCCTTTCAGAGAATTTCTGAGCACAGCTGATTCTATTTTAAGAAATAAATGTATATATGTCGGGCCAGAGACTATATGGGAACTTTCTGTACTATCCTCTCAATTTTGCTGTGAACATGCAACTGAAAGTTTAAACAGTGGGGGAAAAAAAGAAAAGAATGTTAAGAACATTATGTATATGTTTCAACATTTGCATAGATAACTGCATACATCCATACCTTTTACAACTTACCGTCTTTGTTAGAATTAAATCATGGACAGCTTTCCAGGTTAATATTACAGATTTATTATGTTCTTCTGAATGAATCTCTAAATAGTTCTATCCTACGTAATTTAGCCAGCTTCCTCTTGATACATATTTACTCTGTTTCTAGTTTCTCACTATTAAAAATCTCACCTTCTCTAGCTTTGACGAAGTATCTTTGGGAAATTGTGAAAGTACTCCAGAATATAAATCTGACAGTGGAATTGTTATAGGAAAGGATATGGACACTAGCATTTTCTATATGTTACCAGATTCCTTTTAAAAAGACTTTGCCAATTCACATTCCTTTCAAATGTATTAGCATTCTACTACAAAAATACTTTATATATTTTGTAACTTTGAAATCACTATCTTTCCACATTTTGGGGTAATAAGGCTTTAGATGAAGTCATACATTTGGTTTTAACAATCAATTGGCATTCAATTCTGTTAGAAATTTCTCCCAATGTTAGTCATCTTGATAAGAGAGCATTTTATAGGATTTATCACTACATATATATCTTGTGGTTTGGCTGGGAATTTATCTCAGTGGTCTAAGTGGCTGTCTGGAATGCATGAAGTCTTGATTCGATCCCCATTAACACCAAAAAAAAAAAAAAAGTTTGATTGTTTTAGGGGATGGGGCTTTAGCTCAGCAACATAGACATCTGCCTTGCAATATGTAGTTGTGAGTTCGATCCCTAGTACACCCCCCAAAAATCTTGTGGTTCATTAGAATTTTCGGAGGTCTTCCGATCCTTTATGTCCTTTGATTTCATTAGTGTTAAATTTGATTGTACTTCAGCTTTTATTTGAATACCAATATTATTAGAATTTTGATTTAAAATTATAAAGCCTATTCATGTAACATTTAAACAAAAGTTCCCTGAGGAACCATGCAGTCACTCAGGTTCACATTTAAATTTCATGAAACATAAGTAGATCTTAAAGTAACAAAACCTGAAATCCCAGATAACACAGATTCTACATTTTGTACTGCTTCTACCTCAAAATCTATTGACTGAGAGCCATGTTTTAAAGCTATCCATTATAATATGCCAAGAAATACCTTTTTTGAGATAATACTCATATTTTCAGGTTTTCTACTTATATAAACACGCACAAGTTGTTAAATGAAATTCATGGAGTGTGGCGGTAGATGGTTTATCATCATTTTTCAGTATCCTGTGATGTTACCATTCTTTCATGCCTGATGAGGTACAAATAGGAAATCGCAATCCTTTTATGTTGATGACAAATTTTTATTTTATCTATAAAAGCTCTGTGGGCTGTTGAAACTGAAGGCCCTTCTACACTTTCACACTGCTACTGTTTTGCAAAGGTGAATGAAACTAGGTATGTTTTTCATTTACAGAGGCCAAGTGTAGAGCACACAGTGAAGGTGACTTCCCCATCCTAAACGTGTAAGAACCAGCAGTTGCCTGGCTCTGATCTGCAGCATATTCATTAGATCACTGTGTCGGCCTCACATACCTTCCTGTCACCTCTCAGACAAGAACGAGCTGAAATATTCCAGAAAGCAGATTGCCCCTCATAAACTTTGCAATGGTGCCATGAATCTTTACTGCTCACTTTAGTGTTCAAAGGAATTCCTCTGTTCAAGTTTATAGTAAAATGGCTTTTAAATGGCTCTTAGTATTTCTGATTTGGTCAATAAAATGTGTTTATTAAATGATAGATTTTAAAAATTGCACATTTTAGGGCATATACTTTTAATTTTTAAAATTTATTTATTTATTTATTTATTTTTGGCACCGAGAATTGAACACATGACCTCACACTTGCTGGGCAGGTGCTTGTGCTGCTGAGCTATATCCCTAGCCCATTAATTTTAAATTCAAAGATGAAGATATTTTACTGCGTGTATAATATTTAATTACCTGCACATTCTTATTTCCTATTTTGGTTATACTGGTTATATCTTTCATTTTATGAGTTATCTTCCAACAATCAGCTCACATTAAATTAGAAAACCAGTAATCAACCCAGTCTCACCTGCTGTCTTTCATATTGTTAGAGGCTTTATTTCTAATTCATAATAATAATGCTTTTTTATTTTGAAAACTCTCTGAAAATGCTAGATTTTAAGCAAAATATAGTTAATGTTTACACATTTTGGTTCTGACTTTTTTGAAAGCTCAGATTTTAGAATATTACAAAATTAAGGTAGCAGAAAACGTGTTTTATGTTCCTGCTGTAATATAGATAACTAATTGCTTTTAAATAGTACATGTAAATCCAGAAAAGAAATTGGGACCTACATTTTCAGATTGTAGCAATTTGATGATGGGGAATACCTAAGCTCTAAAACAAAGGATTAAAAGTCATTCCTGTTTGTACCTTCATAAGTTGTTAATTCAGTGGTTTTTAAATGTAGGAAAAATTACACCAATCAGAGCAACAGAGGAGACAACTAATGGAAGAGCTCCAGGATGTGAAGCAAGTAAGTGTGTGGACTGTGCAAATGCGTATTCTCATGTGTGTGTATGAAATATAATTTAGGTATAACTATGAGGTGTGAGTTATAATAGCCTAGAGTTTATTCATGTAAGAAAACAGTGTAAAACATTACATATCTTAGAAACCTTTGAAAGCTATGCTTGTGCTGAAGTCCTGCTACTATTGCTCAAAGAAATGTTAAAACGCCAATTTGAACATACTGTTGACCAAAATGACCAATTCATTGCTTTTCTACTCTTTTTATTCTTCCCATTTTATCATTTCTTTCCTTTTATACTTTTGTTTGCTGGTCCTACCTTATTTTAGTTAAAAAAATAAAACCTATGCAAAATATAATCTCCAAGGCAGAGTATTAGTTCATTTAGTTGTTAATGAAAAAAAGTAAAATTTTATTTTCACCTTGCATAATTTTCAGAATATTTGATGTAGGTTAAAACAAATGAATTAGAAGCACAAATAGCAGATAAAATCTAAATAAGAGCAAAGAGAGTACTGAATGAAAGCAAAGATGATTGTTTGATTTTGAATTCCCCTCTCACTATCCTTCCAGAAAACACAAAATCGACAAAGATAACAGTACCATATAGGATTCATACCATGACTTCAGTATGACTGTGTGACACAGACCACCGCAACCTTAAAAGTTATATAAATAGAGTAAAAAATGTTTCCAACCAAACTCCTGCAGCTTGTCTGAAGCTTGCAGTACAGAAGACGAGGCTTAAAATAGTCTGAAAAAGATTAGAAAAAAATAGGGGAAGTAGATAAAAATCCAAGCAAAATCAGCATCAGAAAGTGCATGAATGAGTGCCAACATACTGACCATCAGCGTGGACGTGGTGGTCCTGAGTACACAAGGATGGAAAGTGTACAGCCAGAAATGGTAGCCTCAGAGGGTCACTGCTTCTGGGAGAGAATCGAGTAGAAAGATAATGGATGGCATTCCTTGAAGACAGGGAAAGGAGACTAGAAAAGTGGGGACAAGAGAGGGAAATCTTAGATCTTAGAGAATCTCTAAGATCTAAAATCAAAATCTAAAATCAAGATCTTAGAGAAATGACAGAGAAATAAGACAGCAATATATGCCCCCCTACCCTGTATGTTCCATAAAAGAGACTATACAGAAGAGGGTGCTCTTAAACTAAGAATACTTTCTATGAAATTTTTTAAAAAGAAAAGAAAAAAAGAAGAAGAAAATTCTGTTCCCATTGTTACCAATTGCAAAAATTAAATGATGTGGATTAAAGCTTTCCTCCTAGTGAAAATTTTCCAAAACAATAGAACCACAAAGCTGAAGAAAATTATACCAGAACACTCCAAATTCAATTAAATATCCTCAGTAAGCATTCGAAACTAAGAAAAAAAAATCTCAAGTGAGAAATTTGAAAAGAAAAAAAGGAGGAAATTAAAAAACAGGAAAATGTGAAATGAGCGTTGATAACATTTAGGAAAGGAAAAATAAAGTCATATCAGCAGTTAAAACTAAGTTGTCAAGTGTCCATGGAAAGATATATTCAAGTAAAAAGGCTTTGAAGATACAATCAGGAAAGCAAAAAATGTATGAAGAAGTACAAGTTTCTTGAAGAACTCAGTCTAAATAGGATCTAAGAAAACTTTTAAAAATTAAAAGAAGATCTAAATCTAAGGCGCACCGAGCCCAAGTGTTCACACTCTTACTGCCACTACAGAGCCTAGGATCCGTGGGAAAATGACTGAAATGTACACCAGAAAGCAAGGAAGTGCTCAAAATGATGGGGATGTCACAGGTTTTACTAGCCACATATGAAAAAGCTTAAGCATTAAAATAATTAAACACCACATTAGTAAATTATAAATAATTGAAAAACAATAACTCAAGAGCCCTTAACATTTGTAAACAGATTAACTGATTAACAAAGAGAAAGTTCTTTTGTTTATAGTAGACTCAAGTGCTTACTGGTGACTGCAGAGAAGCTGCTAGATTTGGAAATTAGCATTTTGCGTCTGCCTCAGTAAAGACTGAATTGGGCAGAAATTTAGATGCTAAATTGAGGGGAAAATTTTAATGAAGAGCAAGATATCTACATATCTACATAATTTTAAAGTAATTCTACAAACTACATATTAATTACAAGGAGGACAACAGCAATTATACACTAGGAAAATCAAGAAACACTTTGGTGCTTTAAATTGATATGACAAATGAAGATCAGATGGACACTGTAACTCCAAATACGAACCCTGAAGAGAACAAGCATCACCTGTGTGGTATTCTGGCTGAGAATGTATAATTGGAATCTGCTTGTGATGAAACAAACCCTAAGTGAGAGAGGTGTTTTCTTTTTCAGTGTGTGTGTGGAGGGGGCTTGTATTCTGAGCAATGCCACTGCTATTTTAAAAAAAGTGATAAAATATTCCACAGAAAAGAGATAAAAACTAAATGCAATACCTGACTGGGTCTTATACTAAAGTGGGATCAGTGCTATAAAGGACATTACTGGGCGAATTGACAAAACTGGAATGCAGATGGTAGATTAGATCAAAGTACCGACTCAGCTTGAAACTGCTGGCTGAATTGTGGTTATATAAGAAAATATCCTTATTCTTAGAAAATACTGTTTTTTAAAGATAAAGAATGATGATAAGTGTAACTTTACCCTCAAATGGTTAAGAAAAAAAGTGTAGTTTATGTTCATGTGTGCCTGTGAGATATGTATATATATATATATACATATATGCATGTGTGTATGTGTGCATGTGTATGATTACAGACATAAGATTAAAAATATGCAAATTTTCACCAACAACCACCTCAACATACCAGTGTTTTAAACACATTTCTTATTTCTTATTTCTTATTTTTTATTCCTGAACATTGGCTAAAACCTGGATATGGTGAATCAAAATGGAAGAGATGAGGAGGTTCTTTATGCTCTTATTGTCATTCACACAACTCTCATTTAAAATTATTTTCAAGTAGAACATTTTCAAAGCCATATATTTTGTTAAAGTTATTCCCAAATAAAATGTTTTTCTTTAAGTCTTACACTCTTCAGCCAATTTCCAGGCCCTTGTTTTACTACTGATGTGTATACATCTGTTGATGTGCATTTTTAGTCTTTTAATTCCGTATTTTCAGTGCCTAGATCAATTTGTTAGGGCAGAACTTTTTATTTAGGTGTTTGTGTCCTACAGGGGACATTTATAAATCTTCCTTATTAATTTTGTAGGTATAAAATAAATTAGGCAATAGTTTTTTTTCCTACATTAAATTAAAATTTTCTCCTAAATGGAACATATAAACTTTCAAATTACAATAATACTTCATAAAATAGTTGCTTTAAGGACTGATATAAAGCATTAATCAAAGGAAAAATAACAGCTGCTTTTTTTTTTTTTTTTTTTTTTTTCTGGCAGTACCTACTTTTTCCACAGGAGGCCCTCCTGTATTTACTTCTCTGAAAGAGTTAGTTTTTATTAAGAAAGGTCAGGTCTGCATCAATAAGCAATCTCTCCCAGAATTTAATAAGATTGATGGGAACTGATATAAAAATAAAAATATATAAACAGGAAATCTTGTATGATAAACTCAGAATTGACATCTACTATCAAAAATGAAATAGATCAAGGGCTTTGGAAATCCATGTCAGTTTATACACTGGCCCTGCCTCTTGCTAGCTTTTGGCCTTTATGAAACTATTTCACCTATCCAAGCCTCGATTTGCTCATCTGTAAAATGAGCTGCCCAAGAATATTAGAAATATTGAGCGAGATAACCTACATAGTATATATGTGTCATACATAGTAAGAACTCAAATATTAACTAACAGATTATTATAAATAATGGAAGGAGAAATATTCAAAGGTAGAAATAAGTTGGGTTAGCCATTTAATTTAAGGAGGAAATTATTTTGGCTGAGGATAAAGGGAACTTTCATATAAACTGGGCCTTAAAAAAGGAATATTTTGATGGTATTATCATTAGCCTCATCAATGTGATCATTATCAAAGGGACAGCACCCTAAGCAAAGCAGAGATGAAGATGTCACAAAATAATATTTACGTGGGTAGAATGAGGTTAAAGCCGGGAGACACTTGAATGACAATCTAGGATTTTAGTCCATGGACTGCTGTTGAAGATACTTTTTTTTTTAAAGAGCTCCATCTATAATATGGCCCTCTTCTTTTTTTCACGCTCCATATCTATCTTGTTGACACTACAGAATTAGAAACCAACAGAATTTTTTAAATTATAATGTTTTGCCACATTTCCCCAGCCCATTGGAAGGCTAAGTTACCATTATCACCCGTCCATGTCACGGATTCCTTCCAGACCACCCTGCTTCAGACCTTGAATCTGAGCACCGCAGGCACAAAGATCCTTTTAGAACTGAAATGAGAAACGCTACGGGGCTTCCCATTTTACTCAGAGTAAAAGCCAGAAATGCTGTAAGTAGCTATTTCAAGAAAATGTCAGGTGTGATGAGGACCTACAGGCTCTGCCCTCTCCGCCCTTCCTACCCTCACACACCTCTTAGCCCAGTGACCTGGTCTCTTGGATTTTTCTCCCCTGATTCACCGGCCCCTCTGGCTGCCCTGTACTTCCATCTCACCAGCACGCCCACCTGCACTTAGTGTAAGTTCTTTGTATCGCTAATAGCCTTCTTCCATATACTTGGCCATTGCCCTGTCTACTGCTATTCCACAACTGCAGATGGAGTTTCAGGAGGGCCAACTGTCTTTGACTTCTTCAGTTAAAGCAGTTGTTTCAGATTTGTTTCGGTGTTAAAGCAGTGTGGGCACAGAAGAGGTACTCAGCTATTTAGGGAGTGGAGGAAGTGATGAACGCAGAATATGAGATTAAACTCACAGCACACTGGAAAACATTTAATCCAATTAAGAGGCCATTGTAACAGCCTAGGACTGTACTGTCAAATAAAAACACAGTGGAAGCCATTTTATAGGGTTTGAGTAATACATTCAAAAAAGTAAAAAGACTTAGAA